GGCGAGCCCGGTGTCGACGTTGGTCTCCGCTGCCTGCCGACGAGCACGGCTCTCCTGGAGAGAAGCCTGCAGCTTGCTGCGTACCCCTCTGCGGAGGGAGGTGGCATCCCACCACAACGGGGCCGCTGGGCCGCTGTGAGAAGAGCAGCGGTGCCTGCGGAGGTCACTGCCAGCTTGCTCAGGAGTAGGGGCTACTATCTGGTCAGATTTTGTTCTAACCAGCGTGGCTCTGGCCTTCTGGCTTCTCTGCCCAGGATTGCCCCACTTTCCATGGAGAAGGTCTGCGACGGAGTCCTGCGGGATTTTCCCCTTGCCTGTGTTATTATGCCGATGGGAAAGCCCAACAGTTGTTTCACAGGGCTTTGAGGTGTCTTGAACCTGTTGAATAAAATTTGGAGAGAAGCCCATTAGCATATCGCTCCAGCCGTACTAGCGATGCCCTCAGCCTCGCTGTGCTGAAGGCTCCTGCAGTGCGAGTCAGTCAGCCCCTGGACAGGAGCACAGGACGCCCACAAGCCCGAGCCGTGGCAGATGGAGCAGCGTAGATAAGGCGATGCGCATGGAGAAGAACAATGCCAGCTTCACATACAAAATGCTGGGTTGTGAGTTGACCACAATCCCAGCGTCTCATTTCTGTGACAGCACCATGTTAGCATCAGCTCAGTGCCTGACAGCAGTCTAGACAGCAAATGAAATCTTTTCTGAAGGAATTATTCCAAACAAAGCAGCATTATTCCCAACTAAATGGAGAACACTGTTATGCAGGGAGCAGCTCTGGTCCCCCAGCTGGTCTGTGGTGTTTGTCCCTCAACCACAGTGTACAGTGCTGAGTACTGTGGAGCTGGAAAGGCTCAGAAATGGACAACTGCCAGCACAGTAAAGGGACAGCCACATATGCTGGGAATCTTAAGGCTGAAAAAAACCCAACCAAACAAGCAAACCAAAAAACCCCCAAAAACCTAACAAAAATAAACAAAAAACCCCCAAACAAACCCCAAACCAAACAATTCGGGAAGGAGATGCTAAAAGACTATACACCCATGATCCACCTGGAGAAACAGGTAGGTTTCTGTTTCCCATGGGTTTGGTGTAAGCCATGCACTTGTCCTCTTGCTGTGAGGAGCTGTTGGGACAGAGCTGGGCAGCAGGAAGCCTTAGTCTGACCCTGTGGACAGGCTGATGGTCTCGGATGGGCTGCGGTCACCACCAGCGCTCAGTTGAGCAGCGACGCTATGCCCGAGTGGAACAATCCCGCAGGCTCATCTGTCTTCTAATAAATTATACAGCTGAAGTGACTGGCCATAAACCTTACTGTTTTGAGAAAGAAACAAGAGAGTTACACTTGAATTTAGCTTCTCCCCACTTGTGCACGGCTTTCAGAGATCTCTCAGGACTAGTGCCCACACACCATCAATTTGCTGTGCATGACCTAAACACAGCACACACAGCTAGCTGTGCCTGTCCCAAAACCTTCTGAGGGGCACTGGATCTACTGGAGCTTCTTCGCTTCTGCAAATCCTGACCAGCTGCTTTTGGAAAGAAACTTCTCCAGGAAGTTTCTCCAGGAAGTTTCCAGAATACATCCATCCCTGGATGTATTTAAAGAGCGGCTAGACGAGGTACTTAAGGATATGGTTTAGGGGGTAGACAGGAACGGTTGGACGTGATGATCTCAGAGGGCTTTTCCAACCCAGCGATTCTGTGATTCTGTGTGTGAAGCTGCAGATCAAGCGGCACTCCTGACAGGTGGACAACACACGGACCAACACTTCCCCAGGCAGGAGATACCCATCAGACCAACAAGGCCGACAGGACCAGGACCTGTTAAGCACATCCCACTTGTTCCTGTGAAGCACGACAGCACCCGGATACCAGCTCAGAGCAAGGCACCCACCTCGCCAACCCTCTGCCAGATTAGGGACATATTTTGTGTCTTTATTTATGAAAACAGCACGTGGAGACGGTCCTACTCTGCTACTTAAGAATCATACTTGAGTTTTAAGGCTAAAATTGTAAAATTTGAGCAAAAGAGATCTCCTGTAAACACTCAGAGAAAGGACATGGAATAGAACAGCAACTAGTGAGCAACTTTGGGGGGGAGGCGGGGGAAGAGAGGATGTGGTTTATTTGCTTCCTTATCGAATTATGCAGGATCAACTTCAAAGTGATGTGAAGCTGCTCAGGGCCTCGACCAGTCCAAGTGGGTGGCAAACCAGTATATAAAGTGATACTGAAGGGGAAGTACTCAAAGGCTGCCCTGAGGATTAGCATTCAGAGTAGCATAAAAATAGGCCATACAGAATAACTAAACTGATTTGCAGTAAATGAGCTCTGGAAATAAAGAGAAAAACCACAGGATGGGCAAATTTAAATATCCAAATTACAACAACAAATAGGGCTGTCACAGTGGCAAGAAAGCCCACTGAGCTACACTGCCCTCCTGCTCACATGTGTAACTCCTGCTCTGTGTCACATCGGCACAGCCTTCCTTGGTTTTTATATGTTTGCATTCATACAACTGCTGGACTGCACACTCGAACAGAAAAGGCAGGGATTTCCTATGACACAGCTCTTCGGCACTTGTGCCCAACTACAGCTCACTCAAGAGCTCACAGAATCTATTGCAGGTGATGTTGTATCAGCACTACACTTACAATACATCTGGGGTTTGGATGCTAAAAATCTGCTTTCAAAAGTATTTATAACATCATGACTTATCAGAAAAAGAAATAGGCTGCTACGACTCAGGCAGGGGAGGGAAGATGTTATGCTAGCCTGCTCAAAAAGCGCATTAATATTTTCAATTTCATGCAAGGAGTAATGATGTTAATCTAATAATATAAAAAATACTGCAAGGATCTGTGCTTGTATTTACCAATGGCATCACGGCACTGGCAGACACTGATCACTGCATTCACAAATTCAGAAGGAAACATAAACAAGCAAACTCTTAGTCTCCAGTTTTAACCAGCCCTGCTTTGCTTGAAAACAAACAAGCGAACAAACAAATCCTCCTCTTGGAGCACCAGACATACCTGAAGCAGAATTGTATTTCCCTCATAGTCCTGCGTTTGCCACCTGGTGCTACTGATGGGAATGCAGGGGTTAGGCAGGAGAGGCACCAGCTGCCCGATCTCTCGCACTTTGAACTGCAAGGCTGATGCCTCCTTGGGCTGAGCAGCCACCCCAATGGGCAGCTGCTTCAGGCAGAGCTGCACAGCAATATTTTGGGTTGCGTACAGCACAAAGACACAGAAATTACTTTTCTGCACGGTTGCTTCTTTCTGTAGGATCATCTCGTAGAGTCTCACCGCATCCTCATAGTTATCAAAACTGCAGTAGAGGGTGACACGCAGGATTTCGGGGCCGCAATGCACACGCCTGATGCCCCACACGGGCATCTGCTCGTCCAGACCGTAGAAGTCCTGCTGAGCTGGGGCATAGGGGTGGCTTTGCCCATTAGCAAACTGGGCACACTGGTAGCGCCAGGGCGGACGCTGGAAGAGCTCACGGACCTGGAAAATCCGTTCTTCTCCCAAGTCTTCATGTAGAAAAAGGAGAACAGACATTCCGGGAAAGCCACAGCTTCTCTTGCAATGTCTCTCGTAGTATTTCAATGGAGTAACTCGCTCAGACACCAGGAAAAGCTGAATGTCCGGGCAGATCCACCCCAAAAGCTGATGCAGAGTTTGCTGCAGAAGCGACGAGTATCCCGAATTGGCAAGAAGATGCACAGTCATCAGAGAGTCTGCTTTGGCATCCATTGCAAAGGTTCCTGACAAAATTAAAAAAAAAAAACAAAAAACCAACCAAAAAAAAAGGGCAAATTGTTGCCTTCCTTTTCCTTCTCCCACTGCTGAAGCCTCAGTAACACAAGGGAAGCACTGTAACAAATTGTTGCCTTCCTTTTCCTTCTCCCACTACTGGAGCCTCAGTAACACAAGGGAAGCACTGTAGGACTTAGCATGAATTCCCATTTCCTACAGGCTTTGCAATAGCCCAGTGAAATACACAGGTCTGCACAGTCAAGGTACACAAGGCAGGCGAAGAACGACAGGGCATTGCGTGAGCGGTCCCAGGTCACTCACATCACAGCAGAGCTCAGAGGAAGGCTCGTTTTCCAACGCCGAGACTTGAGCTCTAGTCACAGCGTTACCTGCAACCAACGTGTGCAGAAACACCTCTGTGTCCTTCCCAGGACAGGGCAGTGGAGATGCAGAGCACTGAAGCACGAAGCCAGCGATGCTCCAGGATGAGATGACTTCGTGCGTACCCTTGCCTGTCAGCAGTGGAACCGCGCGCTCCGGCTCCGGCCGAGTCCCACCGGTGAACACCTCTGTGTGATTACAGCTGTTTGTGAACGCGATGTGGTGCTCGTGTTTGAAAACCTCAGCATGTTTTCCTGCAGTCAGCAGGCTGGGCTTTAGCTCCTTGTGAAAAGCTCATGGTCTTTGTGAGTCACACCCTTCTGCAGCGTACAGATAAGCTGTTCTTCAAAAACGAGGAAGGAAAACAGAACTAACAAAAAGAAAAAAAAACCCCATGTGAACACAACAGATAACAATAAGGGCAGATATGAATCAGACTCAGGAAAGAGGAGCTTTGGGAAAAAACCTTGACTCCTAGTTACGGGCTTCCTGACACAGGTAGCTCAGTGCTGAGCTGGAGACTGGCCCATAAATGCTGGGTACCAGCCCCTCCACTCCCCTCCCCACCCCCGCTTCAGTGCCCTATTTGTCTCTTTTTCCTCCTCCTGTTTTTTCAATGCTGAGATACCCACGTAATTGGCACCATTCAGCAAATTCCAGGTTTTTGTCCTTGCTCCTTGCGTTTACATACTGGCACTTAATTTAGCTTATTGTGCCCGCTACAACTGGAATGCTGAAAAATACACCGCTTTCCAGGCCTCTTCTAGCCTCTGGACAATAAACCACGCTGTCCCTTCATCTCCTTATTTTGCCAACCCCAGAGCAACACGTACAAATCAAGGTAACCTCATTTTCCATACAGAACTGCCCCCGCCACAGCCAGTATTTAAATAAAACAGGAGCCTGTGACAACGTGCCCAGCTCCACGTGACGAAGAGCAACACATCTTTCTCTACTGACATACCAATTTCCTTTCAAACAGCCAAGCACTCAAAGCAGTGGCTCACCATGCAGAAATCCCAGCATCAGTAAGAGCCTGTTATTTAAAACTCTGAACTATATATTTTTTTTAAATACAACCCTAGCATTACAGTCAACTGAGCAAAACCTCCAAGGTCGAAAGGTACGAGTAGCAGTGCCTTGATTTCCTTTATGTAGATCACCGCTCTCACTGGTAGCAATACACATTCATGTTTTAAAACTGCACCAACACCAACATGCATTAAAAAATAAAAGTGCTGTCTAGAAAATGAAGAAAGAGTTAATTTCCACTGGTAGAGACAAATCCACCCACCACAATTCCAAGCAACAACAACTGTTGGGAGGCAGACAGAAAAATTCCAGCCTTTGGACAATTGCAGGAAGCAATTGAAGAGTGCAAGTGCTCAAAACATTCAAACACACTGGACGAGCTCTGAACAACACGATTTTACTAGAATATGGAAAAGGAAATGATGCACCAACTCTCTGCTACAGGCAAGCAGCCTTCCTGCACCTGGGGAAAAGGGGAATTTTGCCTGCACAAGGAAACACAGAAACCAGGAAAGGTCACTGGGGCAGAGACTGGCGAGAGTCACAGTGGGCAAATCCAAATGAACACGAACGTGGGGAAGCAATCCTCACCCCACGCACGCAGCAGTGGCAGCGCGGGCTGGGACACAGCCCAGCAATGCTGCCAGGGCTGAATGGGCAGCTGGGTGAAAGGAGCAGCCCAAACCAACAGTAGTACTGGGAAGGAATGGGGAAGAAAATATTGTACAGTGGCATATAAACCCACAGCGCATCTGTATCGAGTCGTGTGTGCTGTTCCTGCTGTCCTTCAGTAAAATGGATGCAGAGATTTACAGAGGAGGAAGACAGAGCAATGGAAGAAGCCATTTCAGTGAGAGGAGCAAGCAGCCTGGAGAAGAAACTATGGCAGAATATGATACAGATCTGTAAGGTTATGAATGGCATCATGAGAGCAAAAAGGCAGTCATAGGCTGAAGTACACTCCAAAAAAGCAGGAGGGAGATGAACTGCAGCTAGCAACGCCCATTCAAACAAGCGAGGAAACCCTTCTCCAAACAGTGTGTCCTTAAGCTAGCCACAAGGACTCAGAAGGAGTTTTTAGAGATTCAGAAGGTGACCAAGTGCACTGATTTACCAGCCTGCTAGGGGCTGTGAGGAGTTCAGGGATGCAGAGCACATGCATTTTCTCAACAGCAGATACCTGAGCCAGTGACCCCCGTTCCTGCCAGCACTCACTCCACCCTGTGTCCCCTCCCATGAGCACGGTCACCCCACCGGCATGTTTGCCCTGTGCTCTATGCTTGCTCGCTCCCTGGGGCTGCCCCTACACGCCAGGCCCGGTACCTGCCCTCTGTTTCCCCATCTCCCACAGAGCAGAGGCCGCTCCAGCAGTAAACCCTTCATTTCCACAAGCACAGGGAGGGAACGAGCACAGGCCTGTGCCGCTTTCCTTGTGTACTCTCATCCATCACTGCAAGCCTGCGCAGCTCTCAGCCCCCATTCCCACTCAAATCACATCAATCCAGCCGTTTAAAATCCCATGGGGGCAGCAGCATCGCGGTGATGAAGATGAAGTACCAGAAACACGAACTCTCAAAGCAGCTGCACAGAGCAAGGGCTGGTGAGCCAGGAGTCAGGGCTAGGAAACACAGACACCGCATCTCGCTCCAGCTCCTGCCGTAGCCAGCAGGTCTCCAGATGGGCAGATGCCTCCCACAGAGACTGCTGAAGGTGACTTGCATCTCTCCCCTGCAGAGCCGAGATCTGACGTAGCTGTCATCCATTTCAAGCATCACCAGGCTTTACAACAGCCAAAAACTGAGCCTAGGCACAGAAAGGACCACATCCCGAACCCTACCACCATGCCACGTTTCTCCGTGAGCAGCGCGCTTGCTGCGGTGGGCCAGGGAAAGCAGTCTCACCTGTGAGCTCTGACAGAGCTGCCTGCAGAACAGTTTTAGGCCTGGTTCTCAGACCTCTAAGCTCTCTGGCAGCTCCAGTCAGGGGTACCTACCACTCCTATCACGAGGAACACGAGATGAACTGAACACCAGCCTTGCCTGAACCCCTCTTTCGCAGAGCAGCCTCACCATCCTGGCTAAGCACCAGCCAGTAGAGCAGCACTCTGCTCCTTTTCCACTCTGCTTTGACATCTAAATGTCCATGGGGAAGGGCTCAAACCCAGGCTCCCCAACCACGGACACGAGTATTCTCATGCCCTCACTTTGTCTCCAATCTATTGCCCCCCTAAACCTTGGGGTAAATCTGGGATGCCATGACCACCTGCTCCTTGACTGCTGCAGCCTGGTGAGTTTAGGTGTCCTTATCCACTGCTTTCCTCCGAGGCACCCAGAACTTCTTGGGTTGGAAAGGGACGTGTCATCAGAACAAAGTGCTGGTTTTCCTGGATCTTGTAAGAAAAGGGAAATGCTGGTTTCACTCTGATCCCCCAGTGTAATGAGTCCTTGCTTTCCCCTGCTTCCCCTTCCCCCAGCTTTCCAGTCTGGCTGCCAAACGGAAGAATACATTATTCATAGTGACCTACCAACATGCCAAGAAAGATTTCCTTAAGAGATTAGAAAAATAGCAGTTCAGGCTTATGTGAAAAGTCACTCTGCTGAAGAGAGGGGGTGGAAAAACCATATATTGTGATATAGTACTCAAAAAAATATATCAGAGCACCATTCCCATGTGATAGTGACCGACAGAGCAGAAGGTGCAGCAGGCTGTGGGGGCAAGAGCACCTGAAACATGAGCTGTTCTATCACCACCTACCTAGACACTGGAGAAAGCCCTGCATAAAATAAAGTCCAAACATAAACAATTAACAAACACTTTGTTGTGTGAATCCTCAGAGAATACGATCTGCTATGTTTAAAATCTTACGGTGGAAAGGCACAGCAAAATAATTAAAAATTCCTTTTCATAATGAATTCTTAAGATGTGCCTCGTCCCCCGCAGTGCTCGGAGCCCTTCGCTCTAGCTGATGCCAACAAGACTGATGACGCATCACACAACTTAGTTCATAGTAACATCTGCTACTTGTAAGGGAGTTACTTTACAAGGATTTAGGCTTTGCATACTAGCACATAACTAACGCGGAGAGACCGGGTGTGAATTACCTAAGCAGCTCAAGAGCAGGCCTCATTGCATCCATGCAATCCATCCAGTCTTGGCCTCACTAACTTTTAAAAGACTATTTTTTTGTTTGCTTGTTTTACGCTAATCTCAAGCTCTTTCTATAACCGGGACAAAACCTCTAAATTAACCTGCTAGATGACAATGACCTGCAGCACAGACAGTACTGAGACAAAAATCAGGTTATCGGGATTAAAGGTCTTACTTGAATACAATAAGCTTTTCAAGGACTTTGCTTCTTGCTCCAAGCATTGAGACTCCAACTCATCATCACTTTGCAGGAAAGTAAAACCCCGATGACCAAAATTAGAAAAAATCATCTAATCTGTTGCATTTATTTACGTATACTTCTCTCCTGAACGGCTCCTGTTTCTTCTCTTTAACCAGCTAACAAAGAGTAGGAATCCAGCACGGGTCTGTCAGCAGGCACAGAAAATACAAAGTCCCAGGATCAAACAAATCAGGAT